TTCTTTCAATTATTCTTAGTTTGACTTCATCTTTAAGACACATTAATTCCACTTGGTATGCTATCACCGGTCTAATTGCTGCTCTATATATTTTTTGCTCAGATTTTTGTCTTCATGTAGTCTGTGATACACCGAAGGATTCTTAGGCGTAGTCCTAAACTTATGTCCCGACAACAAAGAAACTTTTTAAGTGTAGCGGATGATGCACGTGCTATTTCAATATGTATCTTAATTTCTTTGGTTTGGTCTATCATTAGATGTTATCCATGCAGTTCTCTGCAGTCTTATTAACTTTGTTGCTAGTACCATCATTTTTATTTCTTTTAATAACTGTTGTCTGTATATGCTATTGGAGACCTGGTGGAAGTCGATAAACAATAATGTGTAGTTATATGCAATGTTCGTAGCTTTTTGTGATGGTTTGCGTTAGTACTTGTATTGCATCACATATCTCTTATGATTGTGGTCAGAATCTTATTCTCAATAGTTGTTGCACTGAATAAGCTTAGATGTACAAATTGTGTAGTTTACAAGTTGAAATAATTGCACACCCATACAATTTGTACATCTAAGCTTATTTATTGTCATAAAACTGTCACCTTCATAAAACAAATACTCAATAAATAACACACATTTCATAAATATATCTTGAATAAGTATAAATAACTTTTAAATAATACAATGGTATATAACATCACTTTCATTTAACAAACAATCACACACCTATCTCTACTTCATTGGATGAAATCTATCTCCTCAAGAACTTCTCATTTACTGTCAAACAGCTACAAGAGCGGACTTAAGTTCTCCATTCAACAATATATGATAGTTTCAACCATGTTCTACCATCCATTAATTAATAGAGTACCGGCCTGTAAGTAATGTTTATTTATTTTACCTTGTCTGTTTAAACTTTCTATACCTTTTTATTCATTTTAAAATAAACCACAGACATGTAATATTGGCATAATTATTGTAATTTATAACATCTAATTTGTTTATCTTTATCAGACAACACCCTAATATGGGTTTTTTATCATTTCAGCATTTATTTAACTTTGTATCGAGACTTGAAGATGCGTTGCATGTTGTAGAAAGCGAAGCCAGTCGTCTGAATAGTTAAATTAAATTGATTGTAAGTCTTATTAATTATTTCTTTACCTATTTGAAATGGACTCACACAAGCAACACATTCATGATTTTAATATTTAATATTAATATTTCAAAATTTCTAACGGACATCTTATCTGAATTATAAAACTATAATAACAACCTATTTTTGGAAATGTGTTCAATACTTAAACATCCCAACGCTCTTAATAAGAGAACAGACATTAGTGACTTGAGCCAAATATACCATGCTTAAATGTTGCAGAATTAGGCTTAATACGCTATTTACTGTATAATTGTCCTTTAAGGTGTATAGTTCATCATATTTTTTTATTAAATAATTTAAATACAAATAAACATATTAAAATAAATTTAAAAGAATAAAATATAATAATATTTCTTACTTATATTAACTTAGACTTATGCAACTTACATTACATTGTTGACATATTCAACGTTGCATATATAGATATGTATTAATTGTTTTCTTGAATTGATTCATATAATCTTTATCACTTGCAACTTCAAATGTATGAACCTTGGACTGTTAGAAATTGTTATCAATCTTCACCTGGGGCTGACTAACCAGCCACAACGTTGACGATTTATATATGAGTTATGGACTGACCTCACTTGTTTGTTCTTTGTTTTTCTTAACCGATCACTGGGGGGCAATTGGTGTTCTTAACCACCTTTTCCTTTCATTTTTTGGTTCCTTACAGACAGGTTGTCACTAGAAATCATCACACTCTTTAAACAAACCGCTCTGTATTAGGGATGTATTTCGCCTTGCTGTTTTTGTCATAATTCTTGACCTCAAGGCATCTGTCTTTTTACGTTGTTGGCGCTTTTGTTTTAACCTACCGCCATTTTACAAGCGGCAGTCAAGAAGCTTGGAGTAGTAATTTCATTATACATTTAAATTATTAAATTTCAATATTATTCACTTTAATAATGCTACCTAAAGTTAAAATTAAATTATAACTATTGATATATCGTTGGAAGTGCATCTGTGATCATCCTAGTTTTTCGATCACGTGTTAATGTTTTTTTTTACTTAAGTTTGCTATACTTATACATGTATAAAAAACCACGTGTTCTTTTGCTGTGCTAAGTTTTAACAAATTGTTAACTGTATTTAGTTCAATTTATTGTTTATACATCGTCCATTTACTTAAGCGTCTTTACATTTTTAATATCATTGACTGCTACATATCTTTAATGGTAACACATTTAACAACTTTTCCATGATTATGTGGTTTTTTTCATATTGTTCTTTTTAGATGAACTGATGATGCTTTCTGGTTAAGAAAGCGAAACGTCTTCAATAAATAGATGAAGTAGCCATCTTTTTTGTCTTTTTTCTCCACCTTTTGACCGAAAAAACCCACCACTCTTCCGAGGTGAAGAAAATACCCACCACTCTTCCAACACTAAGGAAATACTCAGGACTAAAACAGCCAAATACCTTTGGCTTCACATGGCTCAAACTCTATGTTGGAAAGAATACAACAGCAAAAAAAAGAAAAAAAGTAGTTGGAAAGAACTCCAAGCTGTTAATAAATTTTAAAATTTTAATTTACAAAACAGTTATGAATCCAATATTGACATACTGCATCGAGCTGTAGGGCATTGTTAATGCACACTGGTATGTAACCACATCACGACAGAGTTAAATAACAGGACCTAAATTCATCACATTAACTTAGATTACATTTTTATTATAATTGTTAATTTATTGGTTATATATGTAATAAAAAATCTTTTGTACATAGTTGGTAAATTTAATAAGTCTATTATTACAAGATTTAAACTTAATCATGGACGTTTTTTCTGTACATCTTATTAAAATTAAAATTATGGACTCACTTACCTGTTCTTGTGATAGACGTTGGCATAATCTAAATCGTAAATTTTTTAAAAGTCCTAAATATGATAATGAAAGAATTTCTTTAATGTCCTTATTAATTTGGCCAGAACTTCCTCAACCAGTCAATGTTTCAACCCTTCTCGTTTATTTTGATAGAACTGTTTATGATTTATTCGTTAACTTTAATTAAATTGTAATAACAATTTGTATCCTTCTGTGGCAAGTGGACTTTTGTCGAATGCCAATATACACGCATAAGCATTTATTCTACATTTTTTCCCGGTCCCGAAATTTGTGTTGGTAAAAAATGTACTTGATAGGCAGAAAATGTACTTTAACCCAATACCAACATTACGGCACGTCTAATGGAGAGTCACTTTAAGTAATTGAAGGATTCGACCGTTACTTGATGAAAATTCATTTTATGTAACAATAAAACACTGAAAACTATGTTTTCAAACTTCCACAAAATGTATTTTAACTCTTATCACTACAACTGTTTCGGCTGATTGCCTGTCTCAAGTGATCTATTTTTGGATTGCGTTTACACTTTATAGTCTCTAATGAAATAGGTTGAGGAGGGAGAACTGTTTGTCTCAAGTTGGTCATTCAGAATTATTCAGAATTATCACCAGAGAAAAAAACCCAGTACCTTCTGTTCGGTTACATATACAGGCAAAATATCAACAAAAATAGCCAAACACATAAAAAAGAAAGGAATAACACCAGATTTCCGAACAAATAACAACCTAGGCAAATATATTAAAAACAACAAGAGCCAAAAGAAAAAACACTTACATAGTGGTGTGTACAAACTTAAATGTGGCGACTGCCCAAAAACTTACATCGATCAATCTGGCAGAAACTTTAATAAACGAATAGCAGAACATAAAAGGGCTTTTAATAATAGAAAAACAGATTCTACATACGCACTTCACCCTCTAGATCATAATCATTATTTTAATAACAAATTTAAAATTCTTCAAATTATTCAAAATATAGGCCTTAAGCTATCTTGGTTAGAATCTATGGAAATCAACAAACTAAAAAACACAAATATAATTCTGAATGACCAACTTGAGACAAACAGTTCTCCCCTCCTTAACCTATTTCATTAGAGACTATAAATTTGTAAACCCAAGCGCAATCGAAACCGCATTCCAAGCTAAATTGCTCACTTCGAGCTTGCCTAGACAGGGGGGGATCGGTTTTCTGCGGTTTCCCGATCCCACTTGCAAATGATACCTGTCTATTTTGAGGATACAGCCGCAGCTGCCCTCACGCGTCGCGTTAACACATTTAACACATTTACTATTTAACATATTAATGCATGTATTTATACATATATTAATATTGCATTCTGTACATATATTAATTTAACATTCACTAACTATCACTAATATTATTTTTTAGAAAACAATTCTGAAAAGAACCGACCACTACCTTTCTCCGCTGATTGCCCTGGCTACACCCACCAGTGGACCACGAAGCAAAGAACCAGAAGCCAACACCAACAACCCAAGAACCACATCCTGAAGAGGCAAAAGCCTATAACAGGATGCCAAAACCCCAAAACAAAGAAGTACCATACCAAAGACAGAGAGAACCAACGCAACAATGAAGTGCAATCGAAACAGCTGTAGTGATAATAGTTAAAATAAATTTTGTGGAAGTTTGAAAACAAAGTTTTCAGTATTTTTTTTAAAAGTCACTTTCTTACACTTTTATCGATGTTTCCAGAGGTTCAATTAGTATCAAACTTAAATTATCCCAGTCAATTTCCATATGGACAGTAATAATCCTGTATTATAAATGTATCCCAATGGCAATTTATTTTAGCAAAAATAGTAATGCTTATTGGAATAAGTATTTCCATAATTATTATCACACTTATAAAGACAGTTATATCAAGAAGCGAGAGATAAAACACATCAATAGTGACCTTTGTGACAGTTATTTTGATATGTAAGAATCTACTGATTAATTGAGAAGTTTAGTATTTTAAGTTTACCAATCTGTAATCAAGTGTCATCTGCTAAGTTTCTTAGACCTAGTTAATTTATTGTTACGTGCAGTGTTTTATTAGATATATTAGTGTTTACAGTTTCTGGAGATATACAAATCACCTTGGTATAAAATTAGATTTATTTTTTAATAAGTTATCGAATATTTAGTTTTTCACTTTATTTTCTGTAATAATATATTATTATCTCATATAATAAGAATACGAATATTTAGCTTTAATTTTGTTCGATTTATTTTATTTTATCTTTATGGGATAAAGTAATATAAATTGATTTTTAATTATTTTCTTAGTTAATACTATTAAAGGAACTATAAGTCTAAGACTTACGGTAATATTGTCACTATTATAAAAAATTTTATTTATTTTTTCTGTTGATTTTACTTTTAATTCTCTTAAAACATTTTACTTATTTCTTATTAAAATAATTCATTACTACGTATTTTTAAACCACGTCATAGCTTCTTATCTCTGTTTTAACTACTTTTTTATTATTATTAAGTATATACCTTTTTTACATATTTGTGTATACTATTCTTAACAATTCAAGATCTTAGAGCAACAACGGTACCTACATGCCACAAAATTAAGTTTTTGAGAAAATTAATTATAAAGGTTTTAATCAAATCCTGAAATACTAAATATAGATTAGAAATTCAGTAAATGGTGTTATTTGAAAACTGGATATCTACTATCCTTGAAACGCTAAGCTAATTTTAAAAAAAGTCATTTTTGTAGAAAAAAAAAAAACAATAAAAAAACGAATAATATGGCTTGCATCTTTATTACAAAAAAATTATTAATATAACAAGTTGTAAAATAGGTATCTTATCATAATATTAGAAGTTTATATACAGTACTAAACATGAAAAACACAATACAAAAATTGCAATTCTACACTTAGAATTGTTTTAAAATCACTTTAATTTTCGTCCTCTACATCGCTAAAGTCAGCGAAATGTTCTGTCTCATTTTCTATATTATCATTATCTGTTCCCATATTTTTAGCAACACCAATCTCTCTGTAGTAAGCCGCTACTACATTTCGATATTTCGAATATCGCTTTGACAAAACAAGTCTACTACTTTTTGAAAAATGGAAGGACAACAATGTGGTCACATTGGTATCAAATTACGTATTGAAACACTTTCAAAAGTGAATAGTTGGTGTGGTGCTGCCAAACGAAAAATTAATGTACTCCAACCAAAACTTTTCTCATCATACAATGCTACAATGAATTCTTACTATTTAACCCAGATCCAACAAAAACATTCAAAAAAATTTTATATTATCGACAAAAAATGTCGTGGGATAAAATAGGTTAACAAAATAAAAGGATTACACCCTAGAAAATCTAGATACCTAACAATATTCTCTTATGAAGACGAAAGATACTTCGTATAATGCAATTCAAACGAATGCAATGAAATGACAAATCTCTCTATCTAATTAGCCTTCTTCGGTCCATCTTTGGACATAGGCCTCCCCAATCCTTTTCCATTCTTCTCTGTCTGTCGCTACAGTCATCCATCTAGAGCCCACGTGCTTCTGATATTATCTGCCCATCTCATTTGGGGCCTTCCTCTGCTTCGTTTATATTCCCACGGTCTCCAACTTTGTTCCATCGGTCTTCTTTTTGTCTTATATTGTGTCCGGCAAATCTCCATTTCAATTTTGCAACTTCTTGTCTAACATCCCTCACTTTTGTTTTCTCTCTTATCCACTCGTTTCTCTTCTTAACCATTAGTCTTATGTGCAACATTTGTCTTTCCATTGCTCTTTGGGTTTTTATGATTTTGTCCATGTTTGCTTTTGTAGATGTCCACGTTTGGGAACCATAAGTAAGAACAGGGAGTACGCATTGATTATATACTTTGGTCTTAAGATGCTGTGGATATCTTTTGTTTTTAAGAATGTAGCTTAGTTTGCCAAATGCCGCCCATGCCAGTCTAACTCGTCTCTTGATCTCTGCTGTTTGGTTCTCTTTGTTAAGTTTTATAGTTTGACCAAGATATATATAATCCTTAACTTGTTCTATTTCATCTTAGCTGATTCTCATTGTGATGTCTTCATCTGTATTTGTTATAGTTTTGGTCTTGCTGTAATTCATATTAAGGCCTATCTTTCCAGCACTACGTCCAGTTCATTAATCATTTTAAATAATTCTTCTTTTTTATCGGTTATCAATACGATGTCATCAGCGTACTTTAGATGGTTCAAGCGTTCAAGAAATGACAAATAAGCAAGACTTATTTAAATCACCAAGCAAAAACTGGGCTTACGAACATTTTTTTGCATTTAATTGGTGCAAAAGTTTAAAATTCGATTCGAGTTACTATGCATCAGCATGCATTTCGTAGCCAAATATTATTAAAATATCGAGTGGTTTATAGTATTACTTTTCTAGCGTATATATTGCACCACTAATATAACTAGAATACTCTGTAGCTATAGTAAGAGCTATAATACAACCTGTTTAACAGATATATTATTTATCAGATAGAAGTTCAAATCTTCTTTCGAGTGATGTATTTACTCTAAGAAAATAAAACAAAAAAAAGTGATGCAAATTAACTCCATTTTACGGTATAATTTTAATTTACCTTACGTAAAAATGCATTTTCGAACTCTTAAAAAATCATAAATAACAGTTAAGGTAACAGTTACTTAAGTTAAAATAACAATAATTTTATTTTAAATAAAAATGGTTTTCTTGACTCGATTTCTAGCAACGGGGAAAACACTTTTAACTGTATGTGAGTAAATACTTTCTTTATTGGCCCGAAAAAGGATTACAAAATAAACAACTAGCCTACTACTAGCATATGATACAACAAATCAAACAACGTCTTCTTCTTATGGTGCCTATCCGTTACGGATGTTAAACACTAGCATGGCTATTCTGACTTTGTTGACTGCTGCCCTGAAACGTCCGGTAGGGGTTAAGTTAAACCACTTTCGCAGGTTATGCAGCCAGGATATTCGTATGGTCCGAAGTAGGCCATATCGTTGTTTATTACGCATTATATGGTCCAGGTATTCTAGTTTGCGACGTTTTATGGTTACGACTAGTTCGCGCTCTTTACCCATTCTATGTAGTACTTCTTCGTTGATAATTCTGTCTATCCAGGAAATCCTCAACATGCGTCTATAGCACCACATCTCAAATGCTTCGAGTCTCTTCAGTGATGCTTCAGTTAAGGTCCATGACTCTACGCCATATAAAAGAACGGAAAATACGTAGCATTTTAGTAACAAATTTTTATTTTCAATTTTATGTCGTGGCTGTTAAAGATTTTTTTCATCTTGACGAAAGCTGATCTTGCCTTCTCGATCCTTATCTTAATTTCCGTCGATTGGTCCCACTGTTCATTTAAGTTTATACCCAGATAACAAAAGTTGGTGATTTTTGTTATAGATTCAAACAACGTAGTTTATTTATTATAGTTTATTCGTTTTCCGGGTTTGGACCGTGTCTTTTGTGAGTGACCCAAAAGTGGGTTCATCTCGACGTTTCGCTACAATTGTATGTAGCTTCTTCAGGAGAACAAAGAAAAAAGAAAAGAAGACAGGAAGATAAGTAGTTAGCAACGGTAACTCAGTTACTCAACGCAACCAGAGGCGAATACTAACTACCAAGATGGGCATTTGGTCACAGTAACTCAACTACTCAACGCAGCCAGAGGTGAAAACCAAATGCCGGGACAGGGATTCACGTCCAACAGCTCAGAACACTAACGCGTCGAGAGGCGAGGAGTGAATCCGACGATTACTCCGCTACCGCTCTATTTATAGTCGCGGTGACCTGTCGTGTCGGGACGTATCGGCACACTCCGTGGCGCGTACGTCAAGAAGCGCGCGCTGGCCAATTATGTGGCTGCATCGTGGTAGCGGGACCGGACGGCGGCTCTAGACTGAGATTCCAGATGGGAGACAAGTAGTATCCTTCCTCTCGATTGATATTATGTGGATTTTTTCGGATCTCTAGAGATTCGCGGATTTTCCTGGAATAAAAGAAGGGGCTCTTAGAAATAATATGGGTTTTTTTGAACAATATGGAATGACCGGTTTCTTGGCAGTGTTCTGCAACTGCAGAATGGGATAAAAGACCTGATCGAATGCATCTTTGATGCTCTTGAATCCGAGTTTTGACGGAACGACCAGTTTCGCCAATATACACATGTCCACATGAACAAGGAATAGAATAGACACCACAGGAAGATAGGGACGGTAATGGGTCCTTAGGAGAGGGTAGATATTGTGAGATTTTCTTGGGTGGTCGAAAAGTAGTCCTGATACCTTCTTTGCGAAGAATTTTGCCAATCCTATCAGTGACACTTCGAATATACGGAAGAAAAGCCACAGGAGTATTACCCGAAGATTCTGAATTTGTCGTCCTAGGGTTTAAGGGGGATGTAGATGTCGGTGTGTAATATTTTGAATTGTGGACTTGGAGTAACCGTTGGCGACAAGGGTTTTTTGCAGATGGCCAAGTTCTTCTCTAAGGTTGTCAGGTTCAGAAATCGAAATGGCCCGATGGATGAGAGAGTTGATCACAGAATTCTTTTGGGCAGGATGGTGGTGTGATGAAGCATGTAGGTAACGATTCGTGTGAGTCTTTTTCTATAAACAGAGTGACCCAAACGGCCATTGGGCTTGGAGGTGACTAACACATCGAGAAAGTAAAAATTTCGATAAAGGGATAAACCGATTATTTTCTACTTCCATTGTGAATTTTATACTCGGATGTTGTGAGTTAAGATGATCTAGGAAAGGAGAAAGGGTATGTTGACCATGGGGCCAGATGATAAATGTATCATCAACGTAGCGGAACCAGACTTTCGGTTTTAAGGGGTAAGATTCTAGGGCTAAAGACTCAAAGGCTTCCATGAAAATGTCAGCAATGACAGGGGAAAGGGGAGAACCCATTGGTGTTCCAGATATTTGTTTGTAGAAATTGCCTCTTAAAGAAAAATATGTTGAAAGGAGGCATTTTTCCGCAAGATCTGCCAAAACCAAAGACTTGTTGTTATTGGTCAAGTGATCTCGCAGAACAACTAGAGAGTCATGTATGGGGATATTTGTAAATAGGGATGATACATCGAAACTGACAAGAATATCTTGGGGATCGACCGTGAGGGAGGAGATTAAGGTGATGAAATGTGTGGAATTTCGGACATAAGCAGAGGTACGACCAGTATAGGTCTTAAACTGATTCGACAAGTACTTTGCGAGTTTGTAGGTAGGAGAGTTAATCGTGGTCACAATGGGACGAAGAAGTACGTTGTCTTTATGGATTTTGGGAAGACCGTAAATTCTGGGGCAGATGGAGTTTTTCGGAACTATGGACTTCTTAACATCATCGGAAAGATCGTATTGTTTGATGGCATGGGAAATTTCGCGTTCGACTCTAGGAGTGGGGTCTCGAGAAATTGTATTATAACAGGATGTATCTCTAAGTAAGTCGTTTACTTTCTCTATGTAGGAAGGAGTATCCAGGATGACTGTGGCATTACCTTTGTCTGCAGGAAGGATTATTATCTCAGAAAGAGAACGGAGATTTTTGAGAGCTATGAATTCCTCACGAGATATATTGGAAGTAGGGATTTTGGCTGTATCAAGATATTTAGCGACGTCAAAGCGGATACGGTCGGCTGGAATTTTGGGAATTGTGCGGAGTGCCGCTTCCACATTTAAAACTATTTCTTCGGTAGGAATTCTGGAAGGAGTGATAGCAAAATTAAGATCTTTAGATAGAAGACTGCTTTCTGCACTTGTTAATTGGTGAGAAGAAAAATTAACGACGGTGTTAGTAAGAGGTGACTGAGAAGTAGAAGTGGTGCAATGGTTTTTTTTCTTAGATACAAGAATTTCTTTGGAATTGGATTGGATTTGGATTGGAAAGAAATTCCAATCCCTTGTATCTAAGAAAAAATCACCACCGACACGACAGGTCACCGCGACTATAAATAGAGCGGTAGCGGAGTAATCGTCGGATTCACTCCTCGCCTCTCGACGCGTTAGTGTTCTGAGCTGTTGGACGTGAATCCCTGTCCCGGCATTTGGTTTTCACCTCTGGCTGCGTTGATTAGTTGAGTTACTGTGACCAAATGCCCATCTTGGTAGTTAGTATTCGCCTCTGGTTGCGTTGAGTAACTGAGTTACCGTTGCTAACTACCCATCTTCCTGTCTTCTTTTTTTTCTTTTTTCTTTGTTCTCCTGAAGAAGCTACATACAATTGTAGCGAAACGTCGAGATGAACCCACTTTTGGGTCACTCACAAATGACACGGTCCAAACCCGGAAGACGAATAAACTATAATTCTGACTCTGGCCGTGGAAGCCTACGATTTCACTAGTTTATTTATGTTTTCATAATTTCATATAAATATACATACAATGTTGGATTTTTCCAATTATCAGTTTAACTATTTTATTAAAGTGCAATAAAAAGTGATGTTAGTAAAACATTTTTATATTATATACAGTCACATTGGAAGAGTCCATTTGTGTAGGTACCTAACGAGGGAGTGGCCGTTAGGTATACTCAATATATATAATAGTATATATCTCAAAACTGAGCATAATTTCATATTTTGATTTTTGAAATGTATTAAATTTTTTGTATAGAAAACGTAAAACAGATCTTACTAACGAATGCTATAAAGCGCGAAAAAATATTTAAAAAGATACACCTACAAGAACTGCTGCTGAATAGAAATTTGATTGAAAATAGTATGAAATTGCAAAGAGAATAGTAAACACAGCAATTTTGTTAATTAATATATTGCTTTGCGTTAGTCTACAATACCGCCTACTGAACCCTTTTTCTTCATATATTTATAGATTACACATCTACCGATCTTATACAAATAACAACATTGTTTTGTTGACAGTGAGATTTATTGCAATTCCGTCTCTAGCGTATATTTATTATAATGCTCTAAAACTAATTTTTGGTTATTTTTTAGCCTTAATAGCAATACAAATTAATAAGTAAGTAAATAAGTAATATACTTTATTGTCACTGAAAATTGTACAAATTTTATGGACAAAGCATATAACAATACGACAAGAAAGAAAAAAAAATTAGAATAAGAATCGTTTGTACTTTTAAATAAAAAAAAACAATAAAATTCTTCCAAATTTAAACATAAAAAATACTACCTAATTAAGAACCTAAAAAACTTCGTAAAATGTACCTAACAAAAAACAAAAATTGGGAAAGCAGATTAATGAATTAAGGGCTCAAATATTCCACCTCCTTGTGCTAAACAGTAACCAAATCTGTCATACAGATTTATCCTCATATTTTGGAGTAGGGCTGGTGTAATGCTTGCAGAGAAATGAATTATTCAACCTTAATTCAACTAGGTTTGTGGCCCTTTCAAACTGCTGCCTATAAATGTTTTCTCTGATAAAAAACCCCAAAAAAGAAATCGTTTTCGAACACACTTTTACGGAATGATCTCATTCCGTAAAAGTTGTAAATATTTGGGCCCCTTATAAGGTTTCCATCGATAAAAAATGGACCAACAATATGGTCGCCTAACATTCCAGTCCAAACATTTAACTTTTGCGGATGCTGCGTTCGCACTGCAACAGTGAAGTGCTTATTTTTCCAACCTTGCAACGGATGGATTGTGTTTTTTATGTAATAAAAATGAAGATTCGTCAGAAAATAAAATATTTTTTAAAAAGTGTATATTTTTATTCTGTTTATCTGACATACATTCGCAAAACTCCATCCGCCCAAAGTTATCTTCCGGAAAGAGTTCTTGTGTTGGTTGTATCTTAAAACAGTGATACCCATTCCTTTTAAGATCTCGCTGGACAGTTCGAGCATTCACGTTAACTTCCCTAGCAATTTGTACATCATTGCAGGGTTTACTAGCTTTCACAAAAGTACAAATATCGATATCCCTGTTTTGACGCTCCTCATCGATAGATCTAATACATGGTTCATTACCTTCATGACACTTTTGCAACATATCCCGAAGTTTGAAAATATTTAATGTATTTTTAACTGTTGTAACACTTGGAGGGGGTCTATTTTCGAAGGCAACAATAAATAAATTAATTACAACGTAATAGGCATTTTAATAATTATTTGTTTATTCTTCCAGAACTTCGTATTGTCGAATTACGACAATTCATACCTACTGTGAAATAAATATAGAGGTGGAAACGTGTAGCATATCACAGCGATTGCCATTGTGATGTATGGTCAATAAAATAATGTCGTTATCTGTATAGTGAAATTAAACTAAACATCAATAACAGAACAATTATTGTGCGGCTGATAAATTATAAGTTCATGACAGATGTAATAAATCTAATATATAATATATCTAATATATCTATAATAATTAATTGTAATTTATTATGATATTTTATTACATAGTGTACAATATTTAAACAAAATTATTTTGATTTCACTAATTACTCAATTTTTTTTCAGCCAAACAATGCATCATAGAGGAAAAGAAAAAGAAACCGGTAACAGGAAACTAGATGTTCTCAATCAGAAATTAGAAGAAAAAGTAAATCATAAACCAAAGTAAGTATATAAATATTATATGTTTTAATATAATTAAACTTAAATTTGCAAAAAAGAAAGAAAAAAGGAAAACCACAAAGACTGATTAATATACTTTGGATACTTACGAAACTTCAGCAAAGAAATTCCATATAAATTAGACAGCCAGACTAGAAGAAAATATATCAATCTAGAATATCAAAAGGTATAGTGCCAATAATATAAAGTAAAACTTGCAGAATAATTATTAAACTTATATTAAAGTTTTTAATAAAGAACCGGTAAAAATATTTCTGAACAACCCATACATAAAAGATGTGGAGATAAGAAAAGGTGTAAGACAAAATTGTACCGGGTGGTCCAATAAGCCGATGTCTCGGCTATATATCGGAAAGTATTCATGTTATAACTTTAGGAGAAAAAATTCCTTAGTAAAAGTGGTCAAGAGAAATCGCTGGAAATAACTTTCAAGATTCTGGATTAACCACTAGGGTTAGTCCGCGTAACCTGCGAAGAAAATTTTGAAAACCAGTTTTTTGGGAAATATGTCCAATTATACCAAGTGTTAAATAAGTAAACTAGAAAGAGGCATAAATTCTGCACAAAGTTATTCAAGTACTTTTTTTTATTTTTTCAAATAAAGGGTGGGGGAGAGTGGGAAAGTATTTGTGGATAAATACCTATAACTTTGGTTTGGATCAACCGATTTTAACAAAATTAGTGTCATTAGAAAGAGTATGGATGAAGTAATTTACATTTACTATAAAATAATTGCATTTAGTTTTAATTGTCGTAGTTCGAGGGTACTTTCGAATAGAAAAAATTAAAATTTGTTTTTCTTCAAAATTTTTAATGGAAACATCCATTTATTGTAAATTATAATGGAACTGGATTAAATTCGTAACAAAATGGCGCAAACCGCATGTTAATAGCTTTTATTGAACTCGAGATATGAATAAAAACGCATAAACATAAGTAAGTATAGTATTGACACACCCTGTATTATAAATAACATTAAAAAATAAGTCAGTAGGTATTTTCAAATTTTTATAGTAGAAGAATCTTAATGTCCTACGACAATTAAAACTTAATGCAATTATTTTATAGTAGATGTAAATTATTTCATCCATACTCTTTCTAATGACACTAATTTTGTTAAAATCGGTTGATCCAAACCAAAGTTATAGGTATTTATCCACAAATACTTTCCCACTCTCCCCCACCCTTTATTTGAAAAAATAAAAAAAAAGTACTTCAACAACTTTGTGCAGAATTTATGCCTCTTTCTAGTTTACTTATTTAACACTTGGTATAATTGGACATATTTCCCAAAAAACTGGTTTTCAAAATTTTCTTCGCAGGTTACGCCCCCTAGCGGTTAATCCAGAATCTTGAAAGTTATTTTCAGCGATTTCTCTTGGCCACTTTTACTAAGGAATTTTTTCTCCTAAAGTTATAACATGAATACTTTCCGATATATAGCCGAGACATCGGCTTATTGGACCACCCGGTATTCTTTCCCCGCTATTTTTTACAATTTATGCAGAAATGATAGTTCAGAACGAAGAAGGCTTCAAAATTAATGGGCTTCCTGTTAATAGCCTAGAATATTCTAGCAATACGGACATAATAGCGGATAATATAGAGGAGCTACAAGACTTACCTATTGAATATTATGAACGAAGTGGGAGAGGAGTCCGGGCTTAACATAAACAGCAAAAACCAAACATATGGTAATCAGTAGATATCCCTAGATGCTCATTTGAATATAAATACTAAAGCTATTGGATGGGTTAAAAGATTTAAATAGCTTTGAGCTACATTGAACAGACAGTGGAACTGTAATCTTGAAGTAAAGATAAGAGTAGCAATGACTAGAAACAAATTTATTAAATTTGATAAATATCTCATTTTCAAACAAATAGTGAGGTCCTGGGAAGAATTAAAGTGCAAATAGAATTTTTAAATCTCATTTAGCAGCAAAGTGCTCATACTTAAGCCATAGTCTAGAAAATTAACAAATATAATGCCCTGAATGTCTTCTTGGTGGGTAAAGTTAAAGTTTGTAGGAGCCATGAACGAAAGCAACACTCATGGTTCAGAAACATAAGAAACAGTACAATAATAAGAAGAGTGGAAGCACAATATCTGACATGATGTATATATATATATATATATATATATATATATATATATATATATATATATATATATATATATATGACAGCTAGCACGAACGCCTACATGCTGCATAGCATATGGCACCCAAAGAAGAAAAAGAAATATTGGAGATAACAGAACATACTGACTAAAATAATATGGATATTGACCTGATTATGGCCACCATCTTAGTGTAATCGACTAACAGACCAAGGGAAGAAGACCTTTTTCAGCGATGCTCTGCAGAATGAAAAAATAATAAATAATAATAAAGAGTCAGCATTAAAGCATGCCCATATCGACAGAATTTTACCAGAAATTAAATGGTTGGTTTCATTCATTATATTACAAAAAATATTATTCTTATTCTGCTCATTATTCGTTTTTTTATGTACAATTATTGTAAAGAAAAGTCGTTAAGACCAAATCTAACCAAAACTCTGGTCTGCGCCTGGCAAAAGGAAACTCAACATCACTTGGAATAATACCTTGCTAGAGCACACCGGAGAATATAGTATCACAATACTAAGATCAACAGCGTAGGAGCTATGCTTTGCAACGAAAGAATACGCATGACCGACATGGAAGCGATCTGCGTGTGCAAATATGTGATCTGCACGATCACAAAATAAATGTCAGTCTGAAAGAAACGCAGGCTACTTCCGGTAAGTCATACTTGTATGAGACCAACCCTTCTGGATAAACTGAATAAAGCTTCAGGCCTCTTGAATCCTGACTTCCGTAGAATGGCCCACGAATTCAACAAAATGTCCAAACAAACCGTCGAAAACAGCCACTCCATTTTTTGCCACGAATCGTATCCTGGCAGACTGCAATCTGGAAAGCGTTTCCTTAGTGCCCTGTTAGTCGAACTACTACCCTGTTATCCACTAACAGAAACTCCACAAACCAAAATTTAAAGCTACTGGTCTACTTTATGCATTCTAAACCATTTAAAAACCAGCGTAGCACCGACCGAGTCAAACCTTATTAAATAGGGTGTAATGGACGAGAATGATGACAAGTGTGACTGCGGAGCAGTACAGAACGTAGAACATCTACAAATTTTGGTCAGTTAACCAACTAGTATTAGACACAGCCCAACAATGAGCTCAGGAAACTATAGTTTTCCAGACATGAAGAAGCAAGCAAAGTAAAGTAAAATAAGTCAGTGAACACAAGTTGGGTAGCTTAACCATATCTACAGTCCACTGTACTTTTGAACAGTGGAAATAAAACAACTTTAATACATATTTTAGTTCACATAGACAGAAGATTTAAGTACTGGGTGACTCTTACTGTAATCACAACTACTGGTGATCTACGGTAATTACAATAAGAGATAGACAACTGCTGAAGTCAATAAAGGAAAACAACCTACCGATCTCTTAAACTTCTGTATAATTAAAGGTATCTCCCTTAACTACTTAGCAATTGAATCATGCTGGGATCTTTCGTCAGACGATCCTTGCATTCTCTTTAAGTAAAAGAAGTAACAGGGAGAAGAACGGGAAGGTGTTGTAATGATTACTTTGGGAGGTATAGTTTGTGTATGTTTTAATCTTTTTTATACAATATTAGATATTAGTGAATTGTCGGTGTATTTTTTTTGTTTTAAATCAATTATAATTTTATGTTTCAGATTACCAGAGAAGATATTTGAAGTAAGAAAATCACTTTTGACTGAGCTGTATGAAGACAATATTCACACAAGAGCTATTATAAACTTTATTATGGGATTTTCCATATTTAATATGGTTACTGTGATATTAAAGGACTATGTTTATTATGGCAGGTAATTTTTTAAATTATATTTTATATTGGTGACATTGATAATCTTTCACAACTGTTAACAAATGTACAAATCGTTTTGATTTTATTGAAATATTTTTCTTTAATTTTTTCTATTTCAGTACGTGGCATACCACAGAAAACTAATTTCTCCATGTCCTTTATATGCTTGAAATTAACTCTTTGTATGCTGCCTCAATCCTATCTTCCCCTGTCCCTTATATGCTTGAAATCAAGATGTTTTAGACTGCAAACCCATGGGACACTTTTAATAAGTCATTTGACCTAGCATAAATCACGTATAAATCAATATTACAATATGTAATAATAATTTAAGAAACTATGCTGCTAGTTCTTATCGGTACACAAAGCATGGGGGTTTAAATTAAGGGTTGCCCCTTAGATTTATCACCCATCTCCCAGCCAAAAGGTACGGCGTTGTGAAAAAATTAATCTTTATACCGATTCTAAACTTTGTCTATGATGTCGTACTGTATCAAGGTAATGAAAATGACGAAAAATTTTTTCGAAAATAAAAAACTTTCCCTGCTCCTGTTATCAATATTTTTGTATAGCATTAGGTCGCAGGTATTATTTTTGTATTACTTACCTTAGTTATAAAATGTTTGGCCAAAAAACCTTACCACCATGAATGGTAAGTCTTCTGTGACTCACATGTACCGATAAAAATTGACGGTATAGTTTCTAAAGTTGTTACTATATATTGTAGTACTGTAGACGGACAGCCTACTAAATTTTTAGTGGTGAGAATCAGTGGATTCCTAGGGCCAAGACCTGATGAATCAATCAGTTTTTGTGTGCCAAAACAATATCTCGAATTTTTCTTTCATCTAGTAGCATTGTAATTTTTTTTCGACCATATTTTTGTTTGTGCTATGGAATCAAATCCAATTTTTTGTCAAATTTTTTCTTTAAATAATTGACAGTTGCCCTCGAAACTTTAGAAATTGCTGCTATGTTTCTTTTGGAGTGATTATTGTTCAATAATAAAGTTTTTATTTCCACTATTTTCCTTGGTGAGATGTTTTTTAATTCTCCCATGATGTTTTGGTACCACTGGTTGTAACAAAAATGCAATGTTTGCTAAATTCATAAAAAATAGTATACGACTGTCAGAATATCACTAGAGAGAAATGGAGACTATTTATTATAACTCTAACCACCAAGAATACAAAACAATATGCACACGAGTTTCAAGCTGGACTCTACAGCATTAGCAAACAATGGCACCTGAGGCACGAATTGCCACGCTTGCTGTGTTACCACTCTGGTCAGACTATTTATTGCACTTTTATAAAGTGTTAGAGGATAATAAAGTGGAAACAAACTAATTAATATACTATACAAATCAATTATATACCCTTTTTTAAAAAAAAATAAATTTTGCTAGGTGGCTCTAATAATTTGATCACCCAGGGTATATATACGTTTGTCATACGTTGATCACCCAGGGTATAAGGTTTTTGACAAAAAACATTATTTTGACGTTTCGGCAAGGTCGCACTTGCCATTGTCAGGTCAGGTAGTAGCGCTCCTCGCTGATGCTTGAAGGTAACTCTCCTGATCGATGCGTTTACTTTTTGTAGCCGAAAGGCTTTGAGAATCATCTCTTTGGTTTATACTGTTGGGATATTTTTCTATTTCTATTGATTCTCTAATTTTGCGTTTTTTTTTTTAATTTCAACGTTAGCTAGCATCGTAGTTTGGTTCAGGTTTACTATATGTCCTGTCTTTGAGACATGTTAAGCAAAGGATGGCGTTTTTTCTCGCTTTTCGATGGTTCTTCTTCATGGACGTATAAATAAAGATTCTTCTCGTACTAACATTTATTCTTCGGTTGGTCTGTCTGATGTATGATTTGTCACACCTAGAATCTCGTTAGACCAAGATATGAGAAATATGGAAATACGTGCTTGGCGGAGGAAGGCGATGGATAGGGACGACTGGAAGAGAATTCTTGGGGAGGCTAGGACCCACACAGGGTTGTAAAGCCAAAATGATGATGATGATGGAATCTCGTTTACTACTTGATTTTCTAACGATTTTTTTTTGGCGGATGGTAAAATGGTTGAGATTTTTCTGTCGGTATTAAAGATCGTTTGTATTTTGCGTTTACTTAGTACTCTCCCTATTTTCTCTGTTGTATATATAAAGGCTACAACAGAGAAAATAGGGAGAATGTTAAGAAAACACAAAATAGCGCATTGCGTGGGCAATTTCAGAGCTGTCTAAATTTTGGTACTGTTTATTTTGTCGAAGTTTATTATTAGTTACCCTAGTTTATTATTTACATACATAAAATTATTTCTTTTTAGGTTGTCTTCAGCTTTTATTTTAATTTTTAATCAATTTAGGAAACTACATCTTACTTTTTTAATTTGGATAATAATTAATTTATTAATGTTTATCTGCTATTACGTATACTTATTTTGGGGAAAACTTAGAAGAAAAGGTGAGTTGATTATATAAGATGACTTTAATTTTTCTAGGTTTTATATATTTTTTCAATATTTCGTTACATTTCTTTTTTGTTTTGCGGTAAGATAATATTATAGACTACAAGCCCATCGAAAATTTTTAATGGGTCATTTGATTCAGTATGAATCACATATAAAACACTACTACAATACGTAAAACCTTGAGAATCTATGCCGAACAAATCTATAAAACAGATTTGTATGGTATTAATAACTTAAATAACCACAGTGAAACATTTCCATAACGGACACTAAGGGGGACAAATAATTGTCCGTTGTGCAGAAATGTCCGTTATGTAGAAATATCCATTGTGTAAAATTATAGCTTAATTAATTGAAATAAAAAAAGGTTTCGATTTGCTTGATCTTTAATTCTACTGGCATAAATGGCTTATAGATATATTGAAAATATATAATGTCATTGATAATATTCTTTTTGAAGCATTTACTGGTACAGTGGAAGAATAAAATTCACCTTCAAATACCTTGTGAAACCATTATCGAAACCAAAGATACCCCAATTAACCGGGACCTTTCCCAAACGGACTGGTTTGTTGAGTTCACTTTGGTTTTGTGTAGCGATGAACCCACTGTCTCAGCTACTGAACTTCACCGACTCAGGTTTTAGCATCAAAAATATCAATACTTTTGTGGCAAAGCTTAATCATCTGTTGTTTATGGATGATTTAAAATGAATGGCTTCCACTCGAAACTTCTTAGATCTGATGCTAAAAACTGTAGAAACTTTCTCAAATGATATCAGTATTATTTTTGACTGGATAAGTGCCATATACTAAATATAGTCAAAGAAAAGGTTCAGCTCAGAGGTTTCGATATGCAAGATGAAGTTTGTTTAAGGCATTAAAGATTTATGACTGATTTGCGCTTAGCTACAAGAATATATCGACATTCTTCTTCCTCTAGTTCCATCACCGTTATCGATCGTTGGATATCATGTGGGCTACCATATTCGCTATCGTGACTTTATTGACAGCAGCTCTAAATAACGATGTAGTTGATTTTCCATACCATTGCCTTAGATTTTTCAGCCATGATGTTCTTCTCCTACCAGGACCACGATTACCTTGGATCTTTCCCTGAATGATCAGATATAAAAGATCATATTTTTCAAGGTATCTCATAATGTGACCAAAGTATTCCAGCTTACGTTTCCTTATTATATTGATCAGTTGTGTTGTTTGGTTCAGCCGTCTAAGGACCTCCTCATTTCTAACTCTGCCGATCCAGCTTATTTTCAGTAGTCGTCTGTATACCCACATCTCAAAGGCTGTCAAGCGTTTAAGGATAGCCTCAGTTAGAGTCCACGCTTCCACTTCATACAGCAGGACAGGAAAGATGTAGCAAGATGTCATTCGAACTCTAAGATCAATGCCAAGATCGTGACTGCAAAGTACGTTACTCATTTTTACAAAGGCAGCTCGGGCTTGTTCTATTCGGCTTTTAATTTCTGCGGTTGGATCCCAGCTTTCATATTACTGCCGAGATACACGAGTTTCTCTACTCTATCCAGTGTGGCATCTCCGACTTTATACCGTCATCCTGTATATAATTTTATTTGCTAACTATCATATATTTAGTTTTCTTAACGTTGAGTTTTAATCCATACTAATCACAAGTCTGTTTTATTTTGTTCATTAGATTTTGAAGGTCTTCTCTGCAATTAGCAAGCACGAAGGTATCGTCGGCGTATCTAATATTGTTGACAATTACTCCATTCACAGTAATACCTTCGGTTGTCTCCATTAAGGCTTCCTTAATTATTTCCTCCAAATATAAGTTAAAAAGTAAAGTCGACAATATACAGCCTTGTCTCACTCCTCTTTTTATATATATTTCATCCGACAGTTCTTGTTCAACTTTTATTCTTGCCACTTGATGACAGTATAGTTTTGTAATTATTCGTAGATCTTTATCGTTCAATCCAGCTGTTTCTAATATTTCTAGTATTTTGTTATGTCGGACTTTGTCAAAAGCCTTTTCAAAATCGATTGCACAAATGTACACATTTTGATTTATATCTCTGCATCTCTGTACTAGCACCCGTATACTAAACAAGGCTTTTCTTGCACCCAAGCCACTTCTAAACCCAAATTGAGTATTGCCAATTCTGTCCTCTAACAGCGTGTAAATTCTGCTGTGTATTACTCGCAGGAAGATCTTCAAAACGTGACTCATCAGACTTATTGTCTCATAATCACCGCATGTCTTTGGACGATGTTTCTTAGGTATTGTGACAAATGTCGACTTTAACCAATCAGTTGGTAATATTGTTCGTCATCAATTCTATTAAAGAGAATACACAGAGCTTTAATTCCATTTTCTCCCAAAAACTTTAGTATTTCAGCACTTACTTCATCGGGGTCTGTTATGGATGGACCTGATATAGCAATCAATGTATAGTGTTCTACTCTGCCATCTTCAAATAATTCCGAAATGTAGTTTTCTCATTCTTTTAACTGTTCATTGATGTCTAATTTTCTGTGTCCGTTTCTCTCTTCTAAACTTTGGGATACTTGTTTCCATTTGTTTTCAGCGACCTCTTTTAATTTCTTGTGCAGATGAAATGTATCGTGTTCCTTTTCATATTGTTCAATTTCATTACATTCTTTACTATGAAATTGTGTTTTCGCGTTCCTTATCGTCTGCCTGATTATTGCGTGGATGCTCTTGTATTCGTTTTTATCTTTATTTCTGACTTCTCTTCTTTGATCCATAAGTCTCAATATTTTTTCTGTCATCCACCCTTGTTTTTTCTTGCTTTTAGCGCACTCAATTTTGTCTCTTGAACAGTCTTTAAGATGTCTTTAATTCTCGTCCAGTTTTCCTCAGTACTTTCCTCTTTGCTTGATGTTAACTTCATTTTTTTTTCTAATATACTAGTTATTTCTTGTATTACAGTATGATTTAACAAGTTTGAAAATTGTGTTTGTTATTACTAATTGATTTTCTACGCAAAAAGATGCCAACATATCTCTTCTTTCATTTCATATTCCCAGACCATATTTTCCTATGATATCTTCCAGTTCACCTTCACCATTCTTTGCATTAAAATCTCCCATGATAATATTGAGATCGTGTTTCTTTGTAGGTGCTAATACTTTTTTTAAATCATGAGATAATTTTTCAATTTCTTCTTGTTCATAGTCTTGTGTGGGTGCATATACTTGTAATATGTTCATATTGATTGTTGTTGATTGTATTTGTATCATCAGTATCCTGTCTGAGAATAGGACGACGTTTTTTACAGCTTTACCTGTTTCCTTCGACACAATTATTGCTACACCATTTTTGTGTTTTGAGCTGTCTTTTCCTGAATAGTATACAATGTGATTATCTACAGTTACTTTTCCAGGCCCTGGCCATCTTATTTCACTTATTCCAAGGATACTGTTCGATCCTAATTTTATGTTTAACCTTGAGTGGACCGCTTTTAGTTTACAAAAACACGTTTTTTATTTCACGCGGTAAAAAAGAGTAGGTTTGCACTGAAAACAGGCGAGTTACCATAGAGACGTAAAATTAGCAACATCAGTCAGAAAAAATATATACATTGTCACATTTTTACGAAGTTTTACGTTTCGCTTAGCATTGTTGGGTGCTGATCCAAATAAATGCAGTTTCTAAAATAAATAAACTTCAAATAGTCATTTTAATGTGAATTTCCTATAGCCGATCCAATCGACAACAAAGATAGGACATCACAAAAAGTGCTCAAACGCCCGTTGGCTTTTTACAGTCCTCCAACAAAAAGGGCGAGAGCAAACATTGGTCTTCGAGCCAGATTGGTCTACTTCGTCTGGATTTTAGCACCCAAAGAAAACATCGCTTCGTCTGAATTTGGTACCTACAGCTTGCAGCATCGAGAAATAAAGGTTAGAATATTTATTCACATACTTTAATCTTGCTTTGAGAGTACATAATTTATTGGCATATGGTTTGGTTTTAATTAATATTCTATTCACTTTATAAGATAATACATATACTATAAGCAGCCTCCCATAGCAGCACCAATCGAAAGAAATGTCGTTTATTTATAATATAATTAACGCATTTTTAAATCAAATTTATTTGTAATAAAGACATCCCAAGCATTATTAACATTCGGCCCAACATAGCCATACCACAATCGTTACACCTAACTCATACCTTCATTTACAACCTCTTATTTTTTATTGCTTACTTATTTACCTATGCTTACTGCATTTAATTGATCAATGTATTTATCATATTAATTAGTATATTCCAAAATACATTAACCTTATAACCGTCTCTTAAACCTATTAGCTTAAATAAATTCATAAAAATGGCTAATGCTGAAAGCCTTAAACACCTTGTAGCTCGTCGTGGCACTATTAAAGCGACAATGACTCGTTTTTAACAATTTCCTTGAAAAATGTGGAACTCCTTTCTCTGGCACAGTCAGTCTTGAATTGCAAACGCGTCTGGATGCTTTAAAAATGTCAGTTGTTGAGTTTGAAAAAGTACAGTGTGACATTGAACGTATTTGTCTGTTTGATACAACCCCTAACCTCGGTAATCAAGATGATGAACGAGAAGAGTTCGAAAGCAAATATTATGCCTCAGTAGCTAAAGCGACATTACTTCTCAAACAAACAGCAGGAATGTCAACGGATCAGCCACCCAGGTCATCTTCGCCAGTGCTCAACTCTCATCGTCTTAATTCATATTTACCACCTATTCCATTACCCCTATATTCTGGATCCTACGAAACGTGGACAAATTTCAAAGAAACCTTTGAGTCACTTATTGACAACAATCCTACTATTCATAAGATCGAAAAATTTTATTATCTTAAATCCAGTTTAAAGGGAGAAGCCGCTCAGATTATTGGAGCACTATCCGCAACCGAAGCAAATTATGAAACGGCCTGGCATCTACTGTGCGACCGTTATGAAAACAAAAGAGCGATTATTCATGCTCACGTTAAATCCAT